GGCCGGCCCCCTCCCCGCCGCCGCTGTTTCCGGTGCCTCTTTGTTTTCCGCGGCGCGGGGCGGCCGCGGCGGGCCGGGGTGCGCGGGGGGTGCCTGTCTCTTTAAGAACCAGCGGGACGCACCGGACCGAGTCACGGCGCTCGGGGGCACCGGGGGCGCGCGCGGCTGGCGCGGGGCACCGGGGGGGGCGGCGCGGCGCGCGTCCCACGTGACCAGGCGTGTCACGGTCCGCAGCCATCTTGGAGCGCGGGGCCGCCACGCGGGGCAGCGACCCCGCTCCGGAACCACCGAGGTGGGCCCAGAACGGAGGGCACCGGACACCCACCGCCCTTCTCAAGTGGCCTGGTGCCGCTACCGACCACCTCGCCCCGCTGGGACAGGCCTTAAGGCTGGTGGCATCGTACCTGCGGCTGTGCCTCCGCATCACTCCCGGGCCCCTGCTCACCGGGCTGGCAGCTCCGTGGGCCCGGTGGGCCGCGGGGACGGCAGTCCCGGGTGCCCGGAAGTCGCCGTGCTTCTATGCAGAAAAGCCCGGGGGTGGGGAAGCAGGGGCTCGGCTCCCCACCACATTCCACGCTCGGACGGGAGCATGGAGGGGCTGCTCCCGTCCCGCTTAGGACATCGAGCCCTTTGCCCACACCGACAGCTCTCCCAGGGCATGTGGTCAGTTCAAACTTTTACGCACCAGAAAAGCCCCTTTTGCTTCAGAAAAGCCTCCTATTCTCTCACATTAATTAAGCAAGAAGCAGGAACTACTCGGACCATCTCCTGCACAGCTCCAGCTCACCTGAGCGAGTCACCCAGCTGGTGGCTAACGCTGAGAGCTGGGCGCCGAGAGGGACAGCCACCGGCTCCTCGGCAGCTGCACACCAAGAGGTCGAGCCAGCGGCTCCCCGTGTGCCCCAGCAGCACCGCTCAGGCACCAGTCAAATCCCCGTGCTCAGGACAGCACATCGCAGCAGCTTCACTGAGTGCCAGATGCTTCATCCGAGCCAAATTTCCCCCGGTTACAAGGCACACTTAGAAATTCCCAGGTAGGCGAGCGAGCCAGCCGGCAGCCCTGATGTAATGCCTATAAACCAGCCCTCCCCTGACAGCTGGGCTTTAAAGTGCTAACAACCAAAAGGGAGCTAATTAATTTGTAGCATCACCCCTTTCAAAGAAAACCTCAGATTGACAATTTAACAATTCAGTAGCTCGTTGTTGCGACGAGCAGTCGGATTCAGCTTTGCTAGATTTCAGCCCTGTGCCCAGGTCCCTTCAGGCCCTCCTCAAGGCTCTCACCTCTTCACCCCAAATCCAGACGTGCAGGAGGAGCTACACCAGGCTCAAGGATCCTCCAGGACATAGAGCACTCTGGGGCAAGATCCCTCTACCATGACTGTCAGTAGCACCACGGCCAACTGCTTCTGTTCCCATGGTAGGGGACACACAGGACAGGAAGGCAGCACAGCAGGGCAGACCTGTGATGGTGTCAGAGCCACGCACTCAGGCAAGAACTCCAGCAGGAAGAGCCAAAGGATTGAATCAGCCCAAACCTGAACAACCACCCTCCAGGTCTGTTGCACTACAGCCTCTTTGCTTCAGGAGCTGGGGACTACAGGGAAGAGAAGGAAAACAGCACTCTGTCCTTTGACCTTGCCATTGTTTGTGGGCAGAGGTAGCACTGCACCTTCACAGGACTGCCAGCACCTGGTCTGATCCTGGGCAGAGCACCAGCAGCAGGCAGAGGCCACAGATGGTGGATATCTGTGCAGATGCTCCCTCCAGACCCACTCCAGCATCACCAGCTTCCCCGCGGGCAGCAGCTATTGATGTCCTCAGGATGGCATCAGGAGAAGCCATCGATGGAACATAGCTCACATGCTGCCCACACTCCTGCCCAGCCAGGCTGGATCATTCTCCTGGCACAGCCACGCTGCACACAGCTGTGCCCAGTGAGGATAGGGCACCACACATCCAGCCACAGGATCGGAGTATGTGGAAACAGCTCTGCCCACACTGTCTCAGGGACACAGCCATGCACACAGACACCAACATCACACTGCCCCAGGTACAAAGCTCTGCCTGTAAAGCCATGTGAGGGGCCCAAAAGATGCTACAGCAAAGCTGGTAATGCTGGTCAATGCTTCTGGGCCAGGACAAGGGATCCCAGTGTAGCCCCAGACACCTGTGACACCCTTGGTGAGTGGGACAACCTGTAAGCTTTAGGGGCTGCTCAGGCTGAACCTGGATGCTCTACAGCCAACAGGTGGCCCATCCTTTCCTTCAGGATAGCCAGGGGCCAGCAGGATGAAGTCTCCCTGAGCCCAGGCTCTTTAAGAGACCATCTGCTGCCACAGACATGCCACCTCCCTTACCCCATATATAGGTCAGGTCTGACACAGGATTAGCCAGGGTGATCCAGTGGTGAGAGCACTGGAGGCTTGGTCTGC